GATTAAATTTTGCGTTAAATTGTGCTGTAATGCAACTCAGTACATATTTTTAATATATCTTTACAAAAATATAGATAATATAAAATATTATAATACTAAAAGCTGATCAAATTATATATCAATTATATTTTTTACATTAAAATTATTATAACAATAATTTGCAATAATAAGTATAATTCATTACTGTCGTACATATAATATTAATATTTTAATTATTAATGTTTCAATATCAATCTCGATTCCAGGGTGATTCTGGTAGTCCATTAGAGGCCTATGGAGAACAAGTTGGAATTCTTTCTTTCAATAATCGTTGCGCTAATGGAGAACCAGACGTTTACACAAGAGTGCCCAAGTTCCTCTCTTGGATCGCTGAGAATAAGAAGATTTAAAAGATATTTAATCTATCTATTAAAATTCCACTTCGTTTAACGTAATTTACAATTTACATAATAGTATATTATAGTTTGAGCAAAATATAAATTATTTCTGCAAAATAAATGATTTCTCTATCAGTGAAATAAATTGTCAATGCAAATAATAAAATAATAACAAATCAATCATTATTCTTCTTTTTAATAGTTTTTAAGAGTGATCGCTATTTTATCGATGAAAAATGTCATTTTAATTATGTTATGCAAAATTGAGAAATTTATAAACTTATCTGTAATATTGTTATAAATGCGTTAGACGAAATCAGCAAAGAAGAAATCCTTTGAAATATAAATAAAAGAGATAATTTTAATTAAATTTGTGTTTTTTGCTGCTATAACTTTTCTTACTCTAAGGGGACACAACTGAGTGCTTCCCTCCGCTTTTAATCAGCTTCGAATATATTAAAGTATAGACAAAAATGAGAAACATATATTTTTTTATAAATCCTTACATGTTAAAAATAAAACGCTCATTTGAAAAATATACATTTTTTTCTAAATATCGTCTATACCGCTAAAGATATAAGAAAATATTCTAAAGTAAAAGTTTTACAGTTTCAAATGCAGTTTCCATGGCGCGTTTAAATTTTTGGAAGATAAGAGTAGTTTGAAAATTATTGTTGATGTACTTAAAAATATGATGTTTTCAAAATTTCAAATGTATGTTATTAGCATATACAAAACGCACACATACATTAGATATATACATATGCGATACTATACACGCATATATGCAAAAATAAGATTTCAAATATTAAATAACTTTGATTAGATAACAATTTTAAGAATGTACCATTTTTATTTTAATCACAGATATAATTCGGAATCTTATTTGTATGAAACAATTAACTCCGAAATTTATCTGTAAATATTTAATTTTATGCATCATGTCCACTCTAAAGTTTTCTGAAATTTAGGATATAATCATTTACTTCCATTCTCTTTGTTTGATAAGGTACTTCCTTTGATAAGAAAAACTTCCGCTTTTATCATTTAATTAACATATACGCAATACGGATAATAATATTTTATCATACGATACTGCGTTAAGAAAAATTCGTCAGAAAATCGTCACAATCACATGATTTATATCTTTCTTACAATAACGTCAGAAACATATATAAAGTTACGGATGCATCTATCCCCTTCAGTTCCAGGCAAGAAATCTGCAATCAAAGATGCACGCATTCGCATGTCTTATATTTGTCGTTCTGATATACGCCATTGAAGGTATTCATAAAATAACTTATAAATATTTTACTTTTAAATTTGCAACTCTTTCTCGAACAGCTCATTAAGTTATAAAATCAACATGATGTTTAATTATTGTTGTTAAAAGTTCATATAGAGTGCTTCTAATGACAAACGCATATTGACATAGAAGTCCAACATTCAGTGAAAGACAAAAACAGAATGATTCTTGTCTCTTGCTGTTTCTTTCATTATAATATAACAGATATATTATTTGGCGCTTGTATTAATAATTAATTCATTTTTGTAAATAAGGAGCTTCGTCTCCTTATATCATTGGCGGCAATGATGCTCCCATCGGCAAATTTCCGTATCAGGTATCATTGAGATTAGACGGCAAACATCGATGCAGTGGATCTATTCTTGATAATCTTAATGTGTTAACTGCAGCGCATTGTGTTGTCGGGTATGTTAAACAATTCTTAAACTATATCATACATTCTTTTTTTTACAGCGAAATTTAATTGTAAAACTAGTCTTTTAACACGTGAAATGGACACAATGTACGAAATGTATATATCTAGTAAACTGTCTACAATGTAACAACAAATTAGCAGCAAATTTGCTCAGATATTGCAATACACATCCGGTATCATCTACGTAGACATTAAACAAAGCATGCCGATATAATCTAACAGCAGACTGTCGGCAGAAATTTAACAGAATTTTTTCGACAATATTTAAACAAACTATATCACTTAAATGGTTACAAAATGGCAGATTTTGTTTAGTTTATGCAATCAATTTGCCATTATATTCTATTAGCAGATTATGTTATATTTCTGCTGGTAATCTATCGATAAATATACTAGAAATAATGTCCTTTAATACAGCGTTATTCCTTATAGAAAAGTGAGTCGGAAAACTCTGAATCATTTTTTTCTACAATACTTAATGAAGTTGAATTACTACAATAATTACTTCATTGAACATTGTGGACAAAAATGGTTCAGAACCTTTTAACTCAGGACTTTTCAATTCAGTTTTTTTATAAGGAATAACGCTATTAAGATACATCCTCTATACAAACAATTTCAAAATCTAAATCTGTTCTTGACAGATTTGGGTTCTCATACCTATGGATTCCTTTATTTTTCTTATTTGGATTCTTTTTTTATTGTTAGATTGAAATGTTCACCGGAGAAACTGAAAGTTCATGTCGGTACAAACTTCTTGAATGGATTAGGATATATTTATGACGTAACCGATATCAGCGTCAATCAAAATTACGACAATTATTTATTTCTAAATGATATCGCCTTGGTTCACCTTAAAAGTCCAATTAGGTACAATAAGCTAGTGCAACCAATAAATCTTACGAAATCCGATGAAGGTCTTGAAGGCTTGCCGTGCACAATAT